CCCCCCCAGCTGGAGTCCCCTCCCTCCCCCACAGGGCATACAATTTGGCCCCACTTAACTGGCCTCATATTGTTCTGTTTTTAGAGGCTGTCGGTTGGGTTTGCTTCTCAGCTAGACTGGGAGCTTCTCCAGGGCAGGGGCTTGTTTTTCCCCTCCCTCTATATTTCTATGACAACTGACACCCAGCACCCATGGTGGCTTGCCATTTCTGTCTCAGTTGAGACACGGGAGCCAAACTTCCCAGCGTGTAAGACTCTACCACGTGTCAGTGGGTGCCAGCGGTGGAGGGTTCAGTCCCCAGCTACTCTGCTGATAGGAAACTTGCATGTGGGGAACTGATGGTGGTCAGGCAGTGCATAGTGTGGGTGGATTCTGTCCTTGGGCATGGGCTTCTTCCCTGTTCATCTTGCAGTTGTGAAAACAGAGCCTCAGAGCAATTAAGTGCCCGGGTCACTCTGCTAGTTGTGAGGAGCTGGAACTAGGCTCAAGGATCCCTGATTCCAGCCCAGGAGTCTAGGGATTTGAAGAAGGGCACAACCCCCGTGAAGCAAAGGGAGTTTAGTGCACGTGCTTTGGAAGCTTCAGTCCTGGGCTCAGGTTTAACCTCCATGCCTTCTAATTGAGTATCTTTTCCCTCTGAGCCTCCATTTCTTCATGGCGGGGGTGGGGTGGGTGGTGAGGCAGCTAGTGATAGTACCTGTTGTACTCAGGGAAGAGGCGGCCCTGCTTGGGCAGTGGCTCTTTTGTGGGGCAGGGAGTGGGGTGGCTGAGGGGCTGGGAGGAGGTTTTCTCTCCTGCCTCAGGGACTGTTCCCAGACAGGGATGACTAATGCAGGACAAACAAAGTGAACTCCTGACATCACTCCCTCACCCCCACTTACCCAGTTGGCCAACCCCGACAGGGTCTGCAGGGCCACCCAGGTGGTTTTCTGCCTGTGTGCAGGAGGAGCACCTGTCTTGTGGGAGGGGCCCTCCCACACCCTCCTGAACAATGCTGCAGGGTGACTCAGCCCAGAGAAGTCCAGGGAAAGGGAAGCCGCATCTACATCTACTCAGTTAGCAGGAGCCCTGGTGTCCAGGAAGTGGGGGGTGTGGTCATATGGATAGGTGACCTGGCTTCAAATCCAAGCCTTGTCAGTCACTAGCTGTGTGTCCTTAGGCACATGGCCCCCCAGTGGGGTCTTTGTTTCCTTGCTGGTGAAAAGGTGCTGTGAGCTTCTCAAAGGAGGCCTGGGGAAACTCACCTTGGAAGGTGTGTCAGTGCTCTGGCTAGATAGGGACTGCTTTGGGCTGTCTTCGGAGGGGAACTTTCTCCTAGCTTGTCCCACCAGCTCAGACCCTCACCTTACTTATTCGTCTTGGGACACCATGTGTTTCCCTCCCACACAACCCAGTTAAGTTAGAACCCAATTATAGGACTGCTGGAAAAGGCACTGCTCTCGGAAGTGAATTTTCCAGACACCTGCAGGTTAATTCCCCCAGTCTAATCCCAGTCCTCAAATCTGATCCTCAAATAGATACTCCGTGTATCTATGAAGTTTTTTTTTTTTGGCATGGGGGTGATGGGGAATGTGTCTCATTCTCATTTTATAGATGCAGCTTAAGGGTCACATAGAGGAGGCTTGCAGCAGAAGGAGGACCTGTGGATGCACAGGCTCTCCCATCAGGGGGAGGCTGCTGATGGTGGTGCAACGGACATGGGTTCCCATTTTAGCCCCTCACCTGCTGACCTTGTGGCCCTAGGGAATACATTTCAGCTCTAGGATGATAACAGTGGTATTGCCAGCCTATGGTACTGATAACCCAGAGCACTAACTAGTTACCAGTCAGTATTCCAAGGACTTCACCCCTTGTTAACCTTTGATCTTCAACACAGTGGTAGGTGCTGTCATCATTCGCATTTCAGTCATAGGGCAGTTTCTGTGACATGGTCATGGTCATTAGGCTAGTAACTAGCAGTGCAGGGATTTGAACCCAGGGCATCTGGCTCCAATCTAGACTGTTAACTGAGCTACTAGCTGTCTCATCTGGGGCTGCTGTGAGGACTGACAGTGACAAGGCAGTGAGAGCTGCCAGCTGTTGCTGCTGTCACCATCATTAACCCCCAGCAAGGCCAGTTGCCCAGAGACTCCTCTCTTTGGTCACTCTTTCGTGACCTTTGCTTCCACGGGTCCTCTTTTCCTTTTTTCCACAGGGGATCAAGCTTGAAGAGCAGAAGCCAGGACCCCAGAAGAACAAGGTGGGCTGGGTGGCTGAGGTGCTCGTTGGGTGGGCCCAGTGAGGAGTCCTGAGTGGGACGAGGGCGAGGAGACAGGGTTCTTCTGTCTCCCTCCTGTCTCCCTCTGGTTTCCACCAAGAGCCACTGAAGTGACTGAAGCCTGGTTACACTTGTGCCTGGTAGGCAGCAAAGGGGGACCTGGCTCCATGCCTTTAAAGGAACTTCAGAGCAGGCTGGGGTGGGGATGGGAGCCTTGAAGGAGACCCAGGATTGGTGGCTGGGCCTGGCTGCTCCCCCCGCCTATTTGGCACCTGTCTCTGCACCTGCACAGTGTTTGGGACTGTCAGACTCAGTTTCAGAGGACTAGCAGCTCTTAGCTTTGGTTTTTTTCCAATGCCTGAGGGTACCTTGGAGTTCAGCCCTGTTACCTGGAGAAGGCTGCTGGGTGAGACTAGGGGCCATCGCCCTATGTTGGCACCCTAGGCTGAGAAGCTGGTCTCACTAGGGGTGACAGGGTCAGCACCTTTGTATGCTGAGTCTTTGGCTCAACTGAGTTTGCGTTCAGGTGTGGTCAATTTGAAGATGAGCACAACTTATGTAAGATATCAGATCCCGCAGCTGCCTCTAGGCTGTTCTTCCACCTCATGTGTTTCTCCCAAAGCCCTGGTGCAACCTGCTAAGCCTCCCAGTGCATCCCCTCCCATGATCCAGGAGAGGGACATGGAAACAATGATCTGACTTTATCACCACTGCGAGGACTAACAGTTCTGTTCTCTGGTTTGTCTTGCAGGATGACTATATCCCATATCCCAGCATTGATGAGGTAAGAGCCCCCCTGTCTGTACTGCAGCCCGATTTGGCCCTGCCCCTGGGGAGATCATGGCCCTTCCCAGGCCCACATGGGAAAGAACCTCAGGCCTGGGATTTGAGGGCTTGAGGCCTCTTTCCATATTTGCCTCTGTGACTTTGGCTTTTCCATGTTTTAATTGGGGGTTCCCATCCAGGCCTTGCAACCCACAGGCACAGGGTCAGCTGGTAAAGCTGGAGATGCCAGTGGGTCACAGAGGAGGGATTCATGTTACTGACTTTGGCCTTAAAAATACCAGACTCCCTTCCCTGGAGCAGTTCAGAGGTGGGTGGGGACACCACAGGCACCTCCTCCTGCAGTCTCCAGGGTAGGCTTGCAAGACAAGATCCTCCCTCTGCCTCCAGGTTGTGGAGAAGGGCGGCCCATACCCTCTGATCATCCTGCCCCAGTTTGGGGGCTATTGGATTGAGGACCCGGAGAATGTGGGCACACCAACGTCACTGGGCAGCAGCATCTGTGAAGAGGAGGAAGAGGACAACCTCAGCCCCAACACATTCGGCTACAAGCTCGAGTGCAAGGGCGAAGCCAGGGCCTACCGCAGGCATTTCCTAGGGAAGGTGAGGTCCGGGACCCTGGGATAAAAGAGCTGCCAGAGGATGAAGTGCCCTGGGTGGGTAGGGGGTCCCCTCTCCAGTGCCCCCTCTGTTCTCCCTGCCATTTCTTCTTCCCAGATCTGTCCCCTTCCTGCCTGTCTGCATTTGTATAAATAGGAGAAGTTTGACTGGCAGTATTCTGGGGCAGGGGCAGGGGAGCAATGCAGAAGTCCCATGATGGGTCCTTTAGGGGTCACCCCCAGCAAGGGTTCCAGGAGTTGATGGGATGGGTACTTTTTGGGGGTGCAGGAGAGTGGGCAGAGTTTTGACTTCTCCAGAAAAAAACACATCCTCACATCTTGTAAGTCTACATTACCATTTTCTTAGTGCACATGTCTCACGTCCTGTATGCCGTTCCTCTGAGCACAGTGTGCTTGCTGTGACCCTCTGATTACTTAAAAGTGACAAAGTTATATATCTTTAAATATATTCTGCCCTTCAAATTTGCTAGATTCCCTAAGTCCCCAGGGCAGATTCTGGATATCTCAAGTCGGAGACAGCTTTGCAGAGACTCACTTGGAGGAAGCTGTACCCAGACCTCCAAACCCCAGGACGTTAAAATGTAGATTCCACAACCAACCCTGACTTGGTGGACCTGGCATGGGCTCCAGGAAGCGATGTTTGTAGCCCAGGCTCCCGGGTTCAGAGGACCTCTCACCTCCCTTTGGGTGGAGGTGTTGAGTGCCTCTTAGCTTTCTCCCACAGAGAGTCTGGGGTGGTGAGGGCTGCTCCCCTGGGAACATCTGGTGGCGAAGAGCTTCAGCAAGTTGAGACAGATCTGAGTTTGAATGTTGGTGTCCGTGTCTGTGGAATGGGGATGATCTCTTGCCTAAAACTGTGGTCAGGATTAAAGAAGATAGTAGGTATTAAACCCATAGCACGGTGCTTGGCATGTCCCGTAGCAGTGACATCCTTAGCTTCCTCATTTCTGTGGGGCTTCTCCTTCCTCGTGAAGAAGGTGGTTTGGGGTGACATGTCTGGAGGCTTGCCTCCCCTCCACTCACACCTGATTTCTGTTTCTAGGATCATCTGAACTTCTACTGTACCGGCAGCAGCCTCGGGAACTTGATTCTGTCCATCAAGTGTGAGGAAGTGGAAGGGATTGAGTACCTCCGGATTATTCTCAGGTGGGTGGGGCTGTTGTATTGGTTGCCACACCTCTTCTGGGTGGGTCTGCCGAGTGTGTGTGTGTGTGTGTGTGTGTGTGTGTGTGGTGGGGCAGAAATACCAGTCTGACCAGGTCTGGTCTGGGTGTGCTGGAAGAAAAGAACTGCTGGCATCTTGGGGCTGTATTTGAAGTTGCCAGGCATTAGAACCAGGTGGCCCCAGCTGACTGATTCTCAAGGTCAACAAGACCAGACCCCAACATGCCTCTCTTTCATATAAGGGACCTAGCCCTGAGAAGGATGGAAACAGAGAGTAGGGGTGGCTTGGTATGTTTTATCATGCTGAGACACAGCTTTATGTCCTGGGAAAGGGTTGTCCAAAATGCTGCCTATGGTGACCACTGAGTCAGGGAAGGTGGATCCCAAAGCCTCTGTTGTGTGTGCTGGGTTCATGGAGCTGGAGTGATCTTTACAACAGGAGCACTGATTTATAGGTGAAGCCAGGGCAACTCTCCCTGGATTGTGACTTCCTGAAGGGCAGGAACTGGAACTGGCTTCTGTTTGGTTCAAATAACGTGTTTTGTAAAACCTTTCTTGTACCAGGAGATAGGGGAAGTTCTGGGGGGTACAAAGATAACTGAGATTTGGTCCCTGTTCCCTAAAGATTTATGGTCTAGCAAGTGAGAAAAATAGAATTTTAAGATGTGTCACAAGTATTATTTTAGTCATATGCACAGAATGTTATGAGAGCCCAGAGGAGTGTGTGCCTTATTTATCTGTCCCTGGCTGGGGGGTACAGAAGCCAGGAAGGCCAAGGGGCTGGAGCTTAGTAGACTTCTATGAACATGTCAAGTTCTCAAATCATGTTTATTGAATCTAATCGTAAGTTCTTAAAGGTGTTTGGAAGGGAGCAATAACAGTTTTTTTTTTATTCTGTCTAAATTTTGAGATAAACATGGGAAGGAAGAAAGACATTTAACCCTGCTTTGGGAGAGGTAGGAGACCGTATGGTTTGAATAAATGGTTAGCCCCCATCCAACCTGATTTGCTTCTGATGTAGAAAGGAAGCAGTTACATTTACAAAAGTTCACCTGAGTGGACATCGTATTTGCAGAACATGGAAAGTCAATTAAATAACGACAGAAAAATCTCAGAGCGGGTAATACCTGGATCCCTGTAAATAGGATTTCTAGCTAGAGGAACCTCTCTGAAGAAAAGTATTTTATTTCTTAATAAAAATTAGACCAAGATTATCTGGGACTTCTAAGTCAGATGACAGTGGGATCTCAGCCCTCTTTCCTTAATGCTACATCCTATCTGAAACATTGTATCAGGACTGAAAGTTGGAGAAGGTGCCAAGCACAACAGCACACTTTGATATTTTAAAAATTGCCATTTATAGGATAGTTAGGACCCAAATGTAGGTGATATGGAGTTGAACCCTAGATCCCCTTCCTAAGAAAGCAATGTAGTGTGGGACTATATGCAACTGAAGATTCTGGAAGAAACCTGTTCTCTTTAGGAGTGAGAGGGAGCCCTGAATGGTGAGGGGTCTTTCTGCATAGAACCACTTTTGTTACTTTGGGCCAGCAGTATTTGAAATCAATACCAGGGAGAGCCCAAGGATAAGCTCAAATGTGGCTCTCCCCAAAAGAAAGCCAGTGGGCAGGGTGACAGAGAGAAGCCATGTATCAGCTAGGAAGTTGGACAATCACATCATGTACTTGGAGTGATTGCCAGGCCAAGTTGAAAACCAGGCCTGAAAAATTGGCTCGATGGCTTAGCAGCTTTACCAGACACAAAGAAGTACTTATCCAGAGATGAAATGCCCTTGCTGGCAGTAACTACTGTCCCCACTTCTTCCTCATTCCCCATGGAGTTCTAGATTATTTAACCGATGTCCCAAATTTATCACAACCAGCACTCCAGCCTAAAATCTGAGAATAGCCTTCTGACAACCTCTGTGTATGCACGAGAGTAGCCAAGTGGGATCTACCTGTCGTTTGGAGATATCTTTTCATACACTTAAGCATCACTTGTGCTTATTTCCTGTGAACTGTCTGTTCATAAGCTTTGTCCTTTTTAAAAACTGGATTGTGATCTGAAATTTCTGCTTTTTAAAAATCTTGTAGATGGTTCTTGCAGATGAATTTAGAAACTAAATACATTTCAAAAAGCAAATTCTCTTCTGGATCTATTCACTTTTACATTGACAATAAAACTAGAAATTAGTAACAAAAGAATGTTTTGGAAAATCCACTTTTTTTGCCACTTAGAAGTAAACAGTCTCAATACTTTCCTAAGTAACCTATAGGACAAAGAAAAAGTCAAGGATATAGTTAAAGAATATTTATAGAGTAATGACATTTACGATATTCCACATAAAGAAATTGGGTTGTCTTCAAAACTACGCTTAGAAGAAAGTTTATTGCCTTAAACAATCTCCTATTAAATAAGAAAGAGTGATGTTTACATGTGTTGTTATTGTTAGTGACCTCTTTCGGCCTCAGTTTCCTCATCTGTGAAATGGCAGCGATAGTATCTATGTTAAAATTCTTGAGTGTTTATCTGCCCTGGTGAGTCAGAGCTCATCATATTGTAGCTACTCAATAATGTAATAATGGTAGCTACTATTCTTTTCATCATTGATATGATTATCTAAGGAAAGTGAGAGAAACAAAAAAGATTAAAGCAGAAATAAATAAAGTTAGAAATAAAAAGAGTACAAGACTTGATAAATCTGGGCTTCTTTTAGGGGAAACAAAACAAGAGAGGCAACTAGCTAGTTAAATGTAGATAAAAAGAGAAAATAAAAACACACAAAATTAGGCATAAAAAGACACATAAGCACAGAAGTGAAGGTTAAATAATTATTAATGGGTGCTGTGTGCAGTTTACACTATTAAATTGGAAATGTTAGTTGAAACAGATGCCTTTCAAGGAAGTATACATCACCAAATGTAACTCAAGATGAGGTAAAAAAAACCCAAATGCACCAATAAATTAGAAAAATTCTCAAAAGAATTATCCCTCCAAATGCTCCTAGGTCTGAACGGTTTTGTGGGTAAGTATTTTAAACTTTAAAGGAACAGATTTGTGTTATTTAAACTGTTCAAAAGAATAGAAAAATATGGAAAGCTTCCCAATTAATTTGATAATGTTTAGAGGATCCTCGTGGAAAATAAGACAGGCAAATGAAATGTAAGTTAAAAAAGAAAAAACAGGTCCCAGTATTCCTTATTAATAATAGAAGAATGTTTAGTCTGAGAAACTCAAATTCAAGCAGTCTATTAATAAAAGTTTACTATAGTCAAGAAAGAATTATTTTAGCAATGCAAGGATGGTTAATATGAGGGACTACATGATTTATTCAGTGTTTGTTTAACCAAGGCTTACTATGTGCCAGACTTTGTTTAGTGGTAGGGAATTCTATGAGGAATAAGCTCTTAACTTGTGTATTTGGCCATAGAAAGCATTCAGTACATTTTATATATTCTTTTTTTCCTTGCTCTTCTTCCTCCCTCCCTCCCTCCCTCCCTTCCTTCCTTCCTTCCTTCCTTCCTTCCCAAAATGCCAAGTATTGAACCCAGGGCCTTGTGCATGGTAGGTAAGGGCTCTATCACTGAGCTATACCCTTAGCTTTACTCATCTTCTTCTTATGGACCTGAATCGTTGTAGGCTAGTGGGGATGGTGCAAAAGATAGATGTTGACGGAGAACTGAAAGAAGTTCAGGATGGTTTGATTGTGGAAAGTGTGTCATGTGTGTGTGGGGTTGAAAGACTGTGTTGGAGAGATGTGGGAGAGCTAGTTCATGTACAGATCATCTTTAGGAGCTTAGATTTTTATTGTAGGAGCAAGAGGAGAGCTACAGAAGGGAGAATGTTACAAAAAGATCTGTAGAAAGGTCATTCTGGCTAGAGTAAGGGCAATGACTTGGAGGAATGTCAAGGCCAAGAGAAGGAAGGTGAATCAGGAGGCAGCTGCAGTGAACCAGGTGATGTGAGCTAGGTGATGATCCAGGCCACCAGATTGTATAACATGAATGGTGCCCCCAGAGTGGTACAGACTAACAGCCAGGATGGGGACTGAACTGAGAATAGAGAAAAGTGGGTGGAAAATTCCAAGCACCTGGGGAAAACTGACATTAAGAAAGACAGCCGAAATGTCAACAAATGGGAGATGGATTTACTGCTGATGAAATGCAAATAATGGTAGTCTTTCAAAATGACTTAAAATAAATATATTTAACATCTTAAAAAGACAAATAATGAATAGCATCTATAAAATGGATAAATTATAAAACAAGGAAATGAATTAAGAACACGTGGGCATGTAAGGAAAATGATTAGAATTTTGAGGAATAAAAAAAATAGTTGTTGAAATAAGCTTAACATATAGGATAAAATCTAGTTTGTTCAAAGAGTGAATTTGTGAATCAGAAGAGAGTCCCAAGGAATTCATCCAGAACACAGCACAGATAAAGAAATAAAGTATACAAAAAAGAAGATAAGATGTGGAAAATAGACTTAGAGGCCTCAGAATTTGTTTCAAAGGAGTTCCAGAAGGAAATACTAGAGAGATTAGTGAACAAATACCCAGAGGGAATATCTGAGAATATTTCAGAATTGAAGAAAGTACATAACCTACAGCTGAGAGCAATTTTAAAACAAAACAGTACTTTTAGACATGTTGATGTGAAACATCGGAAATCAAAGATTAAAGAAATTTTAAGACTACCTGAGGATAAAGCCAGACCGTCTTTGAGGTAGTGACAACTAGGCCGAGAATAGATTTTTCCTAAGCCATAATAGTTGTCAAAAGACGATGGGGACAGTATCTTTAAAGTATAGAGAGCAAGCAAGTGAGAAAAAAGGAAAGAAATTAAAGAAGAAACACTCTTAACCCAATGTTCTATGCCCAGAAAACAGCAAAGACAAGATAAAACTGTTTTCAAACATAAACAAATGGGAGTGTACCACTCACAGAGTCTCCCTGAAAGAATTACTAAAGGATGTACTTCAGCTAGAAGAAAGAGAACTCAGAAGAAAAGAGGCAGTTAAAAAGTCACAAGATATAGGTAAACCGTATTGATAAATTTAATTACTGACTGGAAAAAGAAGTGATTTTTTGGCATCTTTAAAAGGAGACTTGAACTAAATTTATAAACAAAAGTAGCAAGGACAATGGGAGAGGAATAGTTCAGTGTTTAAAGCATACTTTATTTTTTTTATTTGCTTTCCTCTATAGGAAAAACATAACAATTTTAGGGTTTGTTGGAAAAAATATAAGTATATATGTTGGAATACATAGAAATACAATCTGTATCTCCAAAACTAGCAGACATATAAAAAGAGAATGCAAAACAAAACAAAAAAATACTCATAACTTTATTCAATTGAAGGCAGGAAAGGAAAAAACCCCACAGGGAATAGTAGATATAAAATGACAGAGTAGAAATGATTTCTAATATATTAGTAGTTACAGTAAGTAAAAATAGATTAGATTAACCTACTAAGATATCAGACTATTAAATTGAATTTAAAAATGGAAGTATATTATGATTATAAGAGACTTAAGGAAGAGTGACATGGAAAGATTTAAAAGAAAGAAATGGAAAAAGACACACTGGGAAAATACTAACCAAGAAAGTTGGCATAACAATATTAAAGTCAGACAAAAAGGGGCTGGAGTTGAGGCGCAGTGGTAAAGCGCTTGTCTTGCATGTGTGAGGCCCTGGGTTCGATTCTTAGCACCACATATAAATAAATGAATAAAATAAAAGTCCATCAACATCTAAAAAATATTTTTTAAAAATCAGACAAAATAGAATTACAGGTAAAAAGCATTAAGGATAAAGGAAGTACTCCTTTGTAACCTGGGAATACTTCTTTCCGACTCCTCGTGTTTCCTACTTTGTGGAGGGACCACTTTTGTATAACACCCCTGGTTCTCTCTGCCCTCTGGCAGGTTCATTTAGGAGCAAGAACTTTTTTTTCTACCCTTTCCTCTTGGAGTTCTCTCCTGAGCAGTCCCCCCCCCGGGGGGGGGGGGGGGTCCTTAACCTCTGTCCAGCACTACCTGTGACTGGATGGATATGTTTGGCTAATTCTGGGTTTTAGTTAGAAAGCCTCATTTCATCTTCCTTTATACTAAGCTGTGTTCTCACTTGGTCTTTATCAGTAACAAAGAGCTACTTGACTCTTGACTCTTGACTGCCTTACTCTTTGGTATTATTTTGTTTCTGAATTTGTTCAGAACCTGGGCAAGGAAAGATAGCCTCTGCAGGGTCCCCTCTGAGGCCTCCATCTACATGAGGATGGAGAGGACGGGTCTCGCAAGCCTCTGTACTTGGTAACAGAGGCTTGAATTTAAAAAGTAAAAACTGACAGAAATATAGGGAGGGGTAGACAAATCCTCATAGTGGGAAATTTTGATAACATCTCTCAGAAGACAATGGATCAAGTAGATAAAAAAATTGTGAAGATAAAGAAGATTTAAACAATTAATGAACAAACTTGATCTGGTCATGTCTATTCCTTTTCTCAACAAAAGAAAAAAAATAACATCCTTTTCAGTATGGTAAAAAAAGAAATAAAATATTTCATGTACTAAGTCAGCAAATTTTAAATAATGAATATCATATAGATTATGTTCCCTGAAAATAAGAGAATTTATTAACCAACAATTAAGATACTGGAGGATAAACCTTCCTTATTTGGAAAGTTTTTTTTTTTAATCCTTTTAGCTGGGGATGTGGCTCAGTGGTAGAGCACTTACCTAGCATGTGTGAGACTCTGTGTTCAATCCCCATCACTGAAAACAAATAAATAAGAAAGAAAAGGAAAAAAAATATATATAAAAAAACCCTTTTAAAATGACTCCTTGGTTAAAGAGAAAATCACAAAAGAACTGACAAAATATTTAGAACTAAATGACAGTAAAAATACTACCTATCAAAATGTGTGGGATGTAGTTAAAGTGGTACTTACAGAGAGATGTATAGTTCTAAGTGCACTTGTAATAAACAAGAAGGAAGATTACATGGGTAAGCGTGCAGGCCAGGAAGTTAGAACAAGAATAGTAGGAAAAACCCTGAAGGAAATAGAAGAAAGGAAAGAACAAGCTGGTGAAGTAGAAAGAAATGAAAAAGAACAGAGATGATCATGAAAGCCAAGAGCTGTCTCTTTGAAAAGACAAATGAAATAGGTAAACCTCTAGCTAAGACTGATCAAAGAAAACAGAGAAAAGACACAAACAAGTAATATTACAGCAATGGAGCAGCTACTAACAGTATCTGATACAAGTATATCAATGTGTTTGTTGGATACTTTTATAGAAAAACTTAAGTTACCCAAGTTGACTCAAGAAGGAGTAGAAAATCTAAACACTCACCACTAAAGAACTATGAAGTATCTGATTATAAAAACAGCAGGCTCAGCCATGGCACAGATGAAATTTAGCAAGGCTTTACGGAATGTAAAATTCCTATATTATTCAAGATATTTCAGAGGGCAAGAAGCTATCTCACAACTTTATGTGGCTGGAAATAACACCTTGATATTAAAACCTGGCAAGGAAAATATAAGAAATAAAAGGCCAGTGCTTTTGAACATCGATGTGAACAACTAAATAAACTATTAACCAATGAAATTAAGTAGGATATTAAAAATAATACATCATAAGCAACTGGAGTTTTACGCATGGGATGAAAAGATGGCTTCATAGAAATGTAATCTACCAGGTTAACAGATACAAAGCCATATGATTATCTCAGCAGATGCAGAACAGCATTCAGAAAAATCCCAACACTTTCATAATGTGCTAAATGAATCAGGGGAACAGGCTAAATTTAGAGTCTTATGGTGAATCCCTTATAAAGCAGATTCCATTCCATTTATATTTTGAGTAAATCCAGATTTTCAAAAATTAAATTATCTTTAACTACAGGTTCATTTGCATGTCAAAATCCAAATATACACAGAAGCTGGGTCCAGTTCTTTGGAAGAACACAAAAAACTCACAAAGAAAGAAAGAAATAAAAAATAATAATGGTGACCTAGAGGGTAGAAATATAGTTATTTCCCATATTTTCATGGCAGACAGCTTTATCAGGCATGTTCTTTGAAGTGTCCCCTTCCCCTGGGGTACCTTGGTAGGTTCCATTTTCCCACCATTTGAGTGTGCTGTCCCACACATGGGTTGGGGGAAAGAGGCACACCTGCCCCCAGGGAGACCTGAAACAAGTGCCCTGTCTGGTGTGACCTCAGCCACCTTCCTCGTTGACTCGATTCCTTGTGGGTGCCCTTGCCTCACCCTGTCCTCATGTGCAGGTCCAAACTGAAGACAGTGCATGAGCGGATCCCCTTGGCTGGACTGAGCAAATTGCCCAGTGTTCCTCAGATTGCAAAGGTAAAAACCAACCCTTGAGAGAAGGTGACTTCTTTCCATCAGAGCTGGCCTCTGGGGAATCGAGGGTCTGCCCTTGGGAAGGGGGAGGCCTCTTTTCTCTGGTCCTTGATTGCATGGATGGTAGCTGCTTTCATCAATGCTGAGGCTGCTCAGGGGAGAGTGTAATCCTTCGTCTCTCCTCTAGACAGTTCATACCCAGTTCAGGAGACAAAATATATGGGAAGGCAGGGCTGGCTATGGCAAGAGCTATGGGACTTCAGAAGAGGGGTGTGGAGGGGAGGTCGGGGAGCCTTCACACAGAGGAAAGGCCTAGGCCTGCTGAAGGGTGGTTCAGGCCCGGGACCATGTTGAGTAAGGAGCCAGCTGGCAGAGGTGCCTTGTCACTTTGGGATACAGGGAATTTGGGAACTGAGTCAGCAAAGAGGGGTGAGAGGGTGGGGTTGTATTGGGCCCTCAATCTGGGAGCAGGAATATGGCAGAATGAGGCCAAATACCTTTGGTGGGAGTTGGGGGGGCAGGTGGTTTTTTTGTCTTATCTTTAGGTCAGAGTGGGGATAAGTCTCAGGCTTTACCTGGTTCCTCTCATCATTTTGTCAGGAAGCCCTGGAAAGGTCAGTGGACTGGCCTGGGCACACATGTTCCCAACCCTGTGGTCCTTTCTTGCCACGCTGCCTTCTCTCGGTGGGCGCAGGAGCTGGGTGAGCTTTGTGAGCTTGGTTTCTGACCAGTGTGTTTCTTTCCCTGCTCAGGCTTTCTGTGATGATGCAGTGGGACTGAAATTCAACCCTGTCCTGTACCCCAAGGTGAGGAACTCTCTATTCCCCTTTGCTCGTTATCCAGGGCTGTGTAGCTTGGCATGGATTTGCACACCTATGACTCTGCATCATGGTGGGGTCTCCATGAGAAACCTCCACGACTCCCTCTCTCCCTGCTTACTCCTTCACACACTGGTCCCCTGGGAACACATCCTTAGGTATGCCTGGGTCTCCAGCCCAGCTGAATAGGTCTCTAGCGAAGAAGGTGGCAGAGGTAGCAGTTTTATAGGTTTTCCATGGCACTCCAGTTGTACCTTCCTGAGGTCAGTGCTGGGGTGAGACTCCGGGGCTGGTACAGATCCAAATTGCTATCATGGAGGGGTGGGGGGATACAAAGGGCAGAATTTCACTAAGAAATAAAAGGCCAGACCTTGGCTCCCCATCGCCCACGTTACTCTGTGAGCTCTGAGGTCTTACAAGCCCCTCTTGGCCTTAGTTAATAAGCCAGCTGGTTCTCTGTTATCAGTTTCTTAGGATTGGCCTGATCTTGACCCCAGTTTTGATATGGTGGTGTGAGTAGAGAGAGGAGCAATAATAACAAAACGAACAACAAACTCACTCAAGAACGATTATGGCATGACAGGACTTAAATCATCCACGAACAGAGAATTGCTTAAAATTGGCCACAGGAAAAGACCTCGGGCACCAACTGCCTTCTTCATGAGCCAGTAGGGCCTTGAGGGAGAGAGTGGAAGTGGAGCTGGGATCTGAGCTTCCGCTGTGGCCAACGTGGTGACAGCTGAGGCTTGCTGGGGCTGGCTCTGTCTAGTCCCTGAGTCCCAACTCTGAAAACCAGGAGCCATGAAATGAAATGTCTGGGGATAGTGGGGAGTGTGTGTGTGTGGAGAAGAGAGGACCCCATCCTGGTAGGACCAGAGAATTTAAGGCATTTTTAAATTTTTCAGCCTCCTGGAATAAATGCCCTAAATGTTCACAACTGGACACTCTTAGAAGCATCTATTTATTTATTCATCTGCAGTGGCTGAGCTAGTGGCAGAGTCCTCTGTCTCACCGAGCCCTTCTTCTGGATGCCTTTTTTTACAATCTGTAGAAACTTACCAGTAATATGCTGTGCTCCACTGAACATTTTCTGTCATTCAGACTGACCTCCCTTTATGATTAAAGCTGAATTAGTGAGGTTTAACCACACATTAAAACCCCATCATAAAGGCCTAACTGAACTACTGGTTGGGTAATTTTTGTTGTCAGATCATATCCGCTGTGAGAGCCCAGTGATGTACATTTACACAGTTCTCTTTATAACTTGGAAAGCCTCCAGCCCTGGTAATGATTGAAAAGCAGCTGTATTTTCTTTTTTTGTATTGGAGGGATTGCTGAAGTTCAACTGGGATGTTAGTCTGGCTGAGATGTTTGTGTTTAAAATTTGCAGTTTAGAATGTTTATTGGAAGGTCTCCATGGCCTAGTGCCTCTCCCTGAGAGGGCAGCTGTTCTTCCCCTTTGACTCATCCCAGGCGAGAATGGTGGACTCCCACAAGGGTCAGGCCGACAGGGCTCTCACTGGGGGAGCTGAGAAGTGTCTGTTTCCTCAGGCAGCTGAGAACCTCACAGAGATATACAGTGAGTGGCAACCTAACACTGGCTATATATTCCAGCCAACAAGTTATACCTGCTTTGTTCTTCCGTTAGCACAACACATGGATGAATCCTTTTTTTTTTTTGCAGAAGGTATCCCAGTAGCACCCAAATATACTTCTCTTTCCTGACAAGCTGATTCAACTCTTTCAGGAGGGTTGCACAGATGATGGTGATTCTGATGATGATGATGATGATGATGATGTTGTTGATGGTGATGGTGTTGTAGCTGCTCTGAGCTCAGCACTTTACGTGCCTAGTCTCTTTGAATCTTCATAACTACACATCTCCCTTTAACGGAAGAGAAACTGAAGTCCAGAGAAGTGAAGTGACACTCTCAAAGCTACATGGATAAAAGCAGCAGATTCAGAACTAGAGTTGAGTATTTCTGACCCAGACATCAACTCTAGGAGGAAAAATAGAAAATCTAATAGAACTTATGGTCAGGTTTTCCTTTTTCTCTTCTGTTTGCTTTTTATTGGAGCATGTTCCTCTATACTGCTCATTTTATGAAGAAAAGGATTGAAGCCTGGACAGGAGCAGGTGGAATTAGAGCTAGAGCCATCCTTCCTGAAGAGTTTTGGGGTTCTGGCTTCACTTTTTACACCACAGATAAAATACTGGGGTATTTTATCCTGAGTCCCACTGGCTACTTAATTGCCCAAGCCATGGCTGGCACACCTGGATGAGAATGGAATGGATGTTACAGAGGATTGGTTACTACTGGGGAAACTCAGGTGTTGGGAACTAGCTGAGACCTTTGGAGTTGCATCCTTATCATCTGCTTTTTTAGCAGGGGGCATATTCTCTACCAAAATGAGTGCTTCCCCTTCCATTTGCATCTTCACTTACTTCCACATGAATAAAGTTGATTTTTTTCCTTCCTACCTTTTTCAGGCCTCCCAAATGATTGTGTCTTATGATGAACATGATGTCAACAATACATTCAAATTTGGAGTCATTTATCAAAAAGCCAGACAGGTAAGCACCATGAATCCATACTGGTCACTATCTCCTATGGTTTCTCTTTTTTTCTCCTAATCTTAATGCAGGATCCCTGAACTAAGTTCTTAAAGCATTCTGAATACAACTATCATATTTAAAGTGTGAATTGGACTGGAGGTATCAGAATCTTCAAGTAGTGCTACTTCTTACAAAAAGGCCTGTAAGTCTTGTAAAACATGGTGTAGGTTTTCACACAGTGAAGTCTGATTCTTCTTGGCTGAATTTGTGTTGATCTCAATTTGTGTTTATCTATGGGTTGCCAGTCACCAGAAAAACCAAACTAGGTAGAGTGAACAGATTAGCATAATCTTATCTCTTCTTGCTCACTATTCTCCCAGCTGGGAATTAGCTTTTTCTCTCTAAACTTCAGCTTTGTGCTGGAATCAGTTATGGGCATCTCTTCCCAACTCTGTGTTCAGTGACATCATGTTGGTAGCTTGAAATCAGCCATGGAAGTATTTACACCATGGAAATTAGCAAGCCCCAGAATTTTAATTTCTTCCTTTGGAAAGCTGGCCCACCACTGTTACCCTCCTCTGTCTTTTGTAGCACTCACTTATAGCTTTGGAGTTAATTGGCCCAAATAATGTTTCTCAGAGTGTGATTCCATGAGACATTGGTGAAGTATTCTGTGAGCAAATGACTTGGAGCAAGGGGTATCTGGATGTAGGAACATTTTAAAGGCTCTCAGAACCCCCAAGGTAAAAAAATTCTTTTTTAATTTTCTTGAGCCCATTACTTCCCATGCTTATTTGACCACAAACTTCCCATATTTCCTGTTTTTTACCATGAACATTTACTAACATCCTGGCAAGACAGTCAGATGGACATGCTGGTCTCCTCACCTAGGTTCTATGAGAAGAAGCTTCTGCATCTTATCTTTGTGTCATCCAAGAGACTAGCATGGTGACTTTATATAAATACACTCAGTTGTTATATGAATTAATGAACAAATGAAAATTTTGGTGCTGCTAATGGCAGCTTTATAATGTCCTCCAATTTTATCTTTTTTTTTGCATATCAATCTTTCTTGGCCGGATGATGGCTGATTTCCTCATCTAAAGATATTAGACCACAAGAGACATGTGTTTGCTTCAAAACACTATAATTATGTGAAGAGTTAGGATCTGAAAGACCAACACTGATGAATCTTATAATTTAAGGGAGATTATTCAGGTAGCCACTCTCATTATTTTCACATATTACATTTTTATTTCTTACAACTTGGCTAATGTAACCCCCCTAATTAAAGTTCTTTGCTTGTGAAATTTACCAAAACAGATCTTAAGGTGATTACAACCCAATGTTCCAGCAAAGTTATAATTACTGAACATTAGACATCCACCTCTGAGAAGGAGCCTCTGTGTTGTTTGTGTACCTGCTGCTGCTGCTGCGGGGGAAAAAGCCAGGAAGATAAAATTCTGTTGTTTTTTTTTTTTTAAATCTAGGCAGATTGTTGTTTTGCAAACCTACAGCTGGGGGACATTTAATATGAACATTTGTTGCATAAAAACCCTGTGCTGGTCTTTGGATATAAATATGCTTCACCCAACTCTGCTGTGTGTCATGTACTGTGCTAAGCACTGTGGGAGACATGGCGATGACTAAGATCCCCTCCTTGAGTACATGGTCAAGCTCAAGGCCAGTATAAAAATAATGACAATGCTAATAATTCCAGACAAGGTGTGAATCCTGGACAAGAGGTGCATGCCCCGGAACCTATAATGAGTTGTTTTCTTGGTAGGAGATGTAGATTTCCCTGAAGCAGCAGCTCTCACACTCAGACCCCATGACCCAGGACAAACAGGATGCTTGGCTGGAGTTGCAATGTCTTCATGCCATGCTAAAGACTGGTGAACAACAAACTTTTCATTAAAGATCCAGATAATAGATTTTTAAAACTTTATGGGCCTTGGAGTCTCTGTTACTACCACCCTACTGCTTTTATTGTGCAAAATCAGCCAAAGACAATATGTAAATGAGTTGGCCTGGCCATGTTCCAATAAAATTTTATTGATTAAAAAAAAGAAGTGGGCCAGGCTTGGCCCATGGGCCATAGTTTGCTGACACCTGCTAGAAAGCTGTGTTTCCAAAACTTCTGATATTCACAGACCACATTTAGGATCTACATTTATGGCACTTATTTCACCAGAGGCCACTGTTAAAATTTTTAACACACCCCTACTATTAACCACTAAATTTTTTTCTTATAAAGTTTTTTTTTTAAACTAAAGTGTTTTTATTTATTTATTTTTGGTGGTACCAAGGATTGAACTCTGGACATTGCTCAAACTAGGCAAATGCTCTACCACTGAGCTGTAACCCCAGCCCTTAGTGCATTTATTTTTTTAAAGGAAATTCTAGATCACACTCCTCTAATTGGAAAACCAGTATCACTTGCCATGAAATCAAAGTAATTCTAAGAGGAAATACTATTAATGAACAAGTAGAGTTACTGAAATCTACTAGATTCTGTTGCCTGTTGAAGACTTGGAATCTGAGGTCTGCTTTTATTAGTTACAAAGCAGGCCTAAGTGGGGCTGGGGGTGTAGCTCAGTGGTATAGCACGTGTTTAGCATGATCAAGGACCTGGGTTCAGTCTCAAGCACTGCCCCCCAAAATAGGGGACATTAAAGAGTTATTAAAGAATTGCCTATGGGAGACTGTCCTTGAAGTGATTGGACACACTGAATTTTTTTTTTTTTTTTATATGAAGCCATTCATTGCAGTCCATAGCTGTTTGCAGAGCCTTCAGCTGTTTGCAGGTCCTGCTGCTGTGGGCAGAAAACAGTAGTAACAAGTTGCTCATCAGATAGGGTTAGTCAGTTGTTAAAGCCTAACACCATTTGCAGAGCTTGCTACTGTTTTCAGCTTTGCCTTTTTTATAATGTATTTTTTAATTGTTAAACTTCTTTTTTTGGGGGCGGGGGGTACCAGGGATTGAACTCAGGGGCACTCAACCACTGAACCACATCCCCAGCTCAATTTTGTATTTTATTAGAGACAGGGTCTCACTGAGTTGCTTAGTGCCTCGCCATTGCTGAGACTGGCTTTGAACTCTAGATCCTCCCGTCTCAGCCTCCCGAGCCACTGGGATTACAGGTGTGCACCACTGTATCCAGCAATTGTTACACTTCTTAATTTTAGATATTTGTGGATTCATATGTAGTTGGAAGAAAGAGCTCATGTCTCTTTTACCCAGTTTTCCCCAAGGTCAAGGTCTTACACAACTACAGCACAAGATCACAACCATTGACACAATCCTCAGATATTATTCAGATATCCACAGATAGTATTCAGATATCCCCAGTTTACAGGTACTCATTTGTGTGTGTGCATGCACGTGCGCATGTGTATTTGATATGTTTTGTTCTGTGTCATTTTATCCACCTATAGGTTCCATAGTCAAGAAACAAGAATTTTGTCACCACAGGGCTCTCTCCTATTTTCCTTTATCACCATGCTCACCTCCCTCTCACCTCTCCTCTCCTCCCTCACTCTGGTCCCTAGCCCCTAGCCATTTGCAGAGCATTGATCTGTTCTCCAGCTTCAAAAACTGTATTCCAAAAAATTACACAAATGGAGTCATACAGTACGTAGCCTTTTGGGGTTGCTTTTCTCTGCTCAGTAGCATTTGTCCAAGTTCTTGAGTGTGTCACTAGTTTGTCCCTTCTTATTGCTGAGTAGTTTTCCATGTCTGGCTGCATTAGGGTTTGTTTAACCATTCATTCATTGAAGGACATCTGGGTTGTTGCCAGGTGTTGGCTATGATGAATAAAGCTACTATGAACATTTGTATACAGCTTTTGGTTTTATTTGAATGCAAGTTTTCATTTCTCTGGAATAAATGCCTAGGAGCACAATTGCTGGTTGTATATGGTAATTATATGTTTAGTTTGTAGGAAACTGCCAAGCTCTTCTTGAGTGGCTGTTCCCACCAAAAAAATGTATGAGTGATCCAGTTTCTCTATATCTTTGCCAGATTTGGTGTTGTCACTATTTTTTTTTAATTTGAGCCATTCTGATAGGTGTGTTGTGATATCTCATTATAGTTTTAATTTGCATTTCTCTAGAGGCTAACTATGTTGAACATCTTTTCATGTGCTTGTTTGCCATCTGTGCATCCTCTTAGGTGAAATGTCTGTTCTTTTGACCATTTTCTCATACTGTTGAGTTTTAAGTTTTCTTTATAATAGCTTTATTAAGGTATAATTCTCATGCCGTGTAATTCACAGAAGCGTGTGAGTTGTATTTTCATCAAGTGATTTATAGTGTAATCACACAGTGGTATGGCAGTCTAATTCTTGGATATTTTCATCACTTTCCAAAGTGACTCTCCCACCTTGTTACCTTTAGTTCCTGGCAGCCACTAATCTACTTTCTATCCCTGTGAATAGAAAGTACCTTTTGTAAGAGTCTGTACCTTTTGCAAGAGTTCCTTATTTATGGCTGGATATTCCATGGTATGAATATATCACATTTTTAAATCCGTTTATTGATAGATATTTGGGTTATTTAACTTTGGGGACATGTTACATGCCACTACTATTAACATTCACGCACAAATTTTTGTGTGGTCATATGTTTTCATTTCTCTTGGTTACTCACCTAGGAGTGGAATTGTGGTCATATAGTACCTCTATGTTTAGCCTTTCTGAGGAACTGCCAGACTGTTTTCCAAAGTAGATGCACCATTTTCTCTTCCCATTGGCTATTTATGTGGGTTCTGATTTCTCTACATCCTTACCAACACTTGTTGTCTTTCCTTTTTAGTCATAGCCATCGTAGTGGGTGTGAAGTGGTATCTCATTGTGGTTTTTGAGTACTGTTGTGTTATGATTGTTCTTTCTATGTTTTTGATACTAGCTCTTTGTTGGGAGTCCAATTACCAAATTTTCATTAATGGATCATGTTTTTGGTATCAGGTCTAAGAACTGTTTGCGTTAGTTTTGCCTTTTGTACTAACTTTTGCTCAAATAGAAAGGTCTCATTAACCAGCTGCTAGGATCCAGCTCTGTGGAGTGGTTCTCCATTAGCTCATCCTTCAGTTGAGGATGGCTGTGGTGAAATGTATTGGGAGTCAGGGAAGAAGAAATAAAGGGACCAGGTATGTGGCAGCCCTTCTTTTGGCACCAAGATGGTGTTTTTTAAACTCCTGTTCCTGTTTCTCTTTAAGACCCTGGAGGAGGAACTATTTGGGAACAATGAAGAGAGTCCTGCTTTCAAGGAGTTCTTGGATCTGCTAGGGGACACAATCACGCTGCAGGACTTTAAAGGGTGAGTTTTAGCCAAGGGATTGCTGTAGTCCCATTGGTGAGGCCCTAGCAGAAGAGCCAGGGGCAGACAGCTCAGTCCTCAAGGAGCACATGTGAGAGTTAAAACCACACCAAAGGAAGATGAGACTATTTTCAGCATCTGATCAACCCTCACTTATCTGCATTCCTAAAGAATCAGTGGTCCAAGGGATAATTAGCATGGCAGGTTATCTGAAAGGCATTGGCATTTGGCTTTAGGATGTGTGCTGGGAATGCTTCCTCTGAGATTTTCCTTCCTAATTGCATTTGACTCAGACTGTGAATGAAATGAATCCACCTTTCCTACCTCTCACCCGCCAGGCAAGAGTTCCCTGTGCAATTTGGAAGGAAATGACCCCTTTCAGATAATACATAAAGAGTGGGTAATTAAGAATCCATGTAAATATAATCTCCCCATCCCAGGAGGAGTCTATGCATCAGTGTATGGGTCTTTAAGTGGACAGAAAGATTAAATATTGGTGCTATTGCTTGGAAGGTTCTGGCTCTTGGTTTTCCTTGGCAAAAGCAACATTTGGGAATATTTCAGACCTGGCCAGCCACGAACTTGGTGTGTGGCTGTGGGTCCTAGAATTCACACCCCTCTCCCACCTCAGGAGTGAAAATAGCGGGCGCTACAAACATCATATGTAAAAACACCTAGCCCAATTGCCTGGCATGCAGTAGGTGTTCAACAATTGCTTTCTTCCTCTTTTCCCTTTCTCCCTTTTCTTCATATTTTTTCTTCTTCGAAGTCACCTGTGTTAAAATCCCAGCTCTGTTGCCCACTAGCTCTAAGACTTTGGGCAAGTGACTTTACCTTGGCAAGCTCCAGTTACCTCATCTGTAAGAAGGGAAATAAAATACTGACCCCACAAGGATGTTGGGGGATTAAAATAGTGAATGCATTTGGAACAGTTAGGCTAGTGCCACACACTGGTCATCATTATTGTTACTGTTCTGATTTTGCCGACTTTTGTGGACTTTGAGATAGCATCACTATAAGAGGTATCCTGATTTTGGTGATATTAAAATGCTAAAATCATGGGTCATAGAATGGATGAAATACATTATACTAATCCCAGAAAGATCCCTTCATGTTATAGAAAAAGGAAACTGAGACCTGGAAAGATTAAGTGATATGCCCAAGGTCATAAGCTGACTTAGCGCCAGAAGCAGATTTAGAACCTGAAATGTCCACCAGCCCATCCAGCATCCTTTCTGCCACACTGGGCTGAGCACATTTTCTGCCTGGTAGTAAGTACTGGGATATTGACGTCCAGGGACCATCTTATTTCATTTTCTTTAGGGAACTTGCATCTGCATTTTCTTCCCCTTGCTGAAGAATGTGGTCCAGGGCTAGCAGCTATTATTCTGTAAAGGCAGAAGGGACAGATCTTGGAAGCCCACCTAGTTCCTCCATGCTTTTTTTTTTCCTGCCTAAGAATATGCAGCTTGAGAAGGGACCTTCCTGGATATCCTAAGTTGGGTGCTGCTGCAGCTGGGCCTCTACATCAGGGACTAGCTAGGTACAAGCCAAGCATCTGTCATCTCTCCTGGCTGACTCCAGATGCCATCGTGGGGCTCACCATCATCCAGCAGGGTGGCTGGTTGCCCTGGCTCTGGGAAGATGATTTGGATATAGCCTTGCAGAGAGCAAAAGGTTGTGCCCAGCCTTGGGGGCCACTGGCAGCTGGGATGGACATTTGTCTGGGATCTTGGACAACAGGCCTCCCTTCCCCACATGACCAGTGGTGCATGGGGGACACAACAGGGCTTGGGTTGGAGGTTTTGCCTTTTTATTTAGACAACAGATGTCTGGTTAGAACTCCAGGCTAGTCTTCTCAGAAGAACACCCTTCCCTGCTCTCCCCACCTTGTTCTCTCCTTTGCCCTCACCTCCTCCCTCAACTCTTCCATCTGCCCTCCAGCTGCCTCATAACCTTAGGGGAGTTTGCACCACGTTGCCTGCTTCCCCTCACTCTTTCTCTCCTGCTCCTGCCCTGTTTTACTGACAGTTTCCGAGGAGGCCTGGATGTGACCCACGGACAGACAGGGGTGGAGTCAGTGTACACAACCTTCCGGGACCGGGAGATCATGTTTCACGTCTCCACAAAGCTGCCATTCACCGAGGGTGATGCCCAACAGGTAGCCTGGTTTTGGAGGATTCTGGGCGCTTGGGTATGCCCCTTGAAGGCCCAGCTCCTGGGCTGACCTGCCTGGGGGATGGTCAGGGGGCTTTCATTTGTGTAACTAAGAGGACAATCTGTTCAGCATCCCGGGTCACAGCCTGTTCTCTTGTGTTGTCTCACCAGGGTGGCACCTCAGCAATCCAGTGCAGGAGGCAGGCCAGTGCTCCTGGGATTCCCTCTTTGACAGCTGGGGAAACTGCAGTCCAAGGGCAGGCCCTTAAGAGACTTTCTTGAGGGCTGAGGGTGTAGCTCAGTTCTAGAGCGGGGACTTATGAGGAGGTCCAGGGTTCTGTTCCCAGCACAAACAAACAAACAAACAAACAAGCAAACAAAAAAAACACCTCCTTAAGGTTTCACAGTCAGGGAGGGGCTGAGCTGGAGGCAGAGCCTGTGATCCTGATCATCTAGGGTGGAGATAAAGGGTGCATGACCCCATCTGCAGGTGGAGTCTTGAAACCAGCTGAGCCACTTAGAGGTGTGTGACTCTGGGCAACTGGTTACCTTTGCCTCATTTTTCTTCTCTGTAGAATGGGGACAGCAGCTCTATGTCAGAGAGCTGTTATGGGGGTCACATAACAGTTTCTGAATATAAGGCTGCTGCAGTGGATGCCTGGCATGTGGCCGCTCTCCTTATAACAGCTGTTCCTTACCCGGGCCACTAGTCTTTTTGCCTCCCTGCTGCCCTGGAGCTCTTACTGCATGAGGACCCCCCCACATCCCTCCTCGCTCTGCCCACCTGCCTGTGGGCAGGAATTCAGCCGGTACCCACGGACGTGTGTTACTAGCGTTCGCTCATGCTCATTCATGTTTGCTGTTTCGACAGCCACACGTCCCTGGGGACAGCCTTCCCTCTGAAAAGCAGCTGATCTTGGAGGTCGCAATGCTTCAGCCCTTTTTGGTCCCTTTTCTGTCTCTGGGAAAACAAGAAGGGCAGATGGGTCTTTGCCCAAACTCTGACCTATTTGTTTCTGAGCAGGGAACTGAGAGGGAGCAGAGAGGTAAAATTGTAAACATAGTGCTGGCTTCTTAGGAGAAAAAGGAAATTGGCAAATGAAATTATGATTTGGCTCTCAAATAACTACTGAATGTTCCAGAAACAAATGGGAGCAGGATTCCTTTTGTATCCAGAGTGGGCTTTCTCTCGGTGTCACCTTCAGTCTCTGCTCCCTCCTGGTTCCCCTCACCTGCTGCCCCAGCCTGGGGCTTTTTCTCGCAGGCCACTTCAGTCTGACATATGTTAATTGGGAAGTGTACCTTGGCATGGAGCTTGGCTCTTGGCAGGGACTGAATAAATATTAGTTTTTCTCTCCCTAAGAAATGGGAGGATATGTGTGGAATGAGATAATTTGCATAAAAGTGCCCAGCACAGTGCCCGGGATGTGGCAGATGCTCAGTAAATGAGAAACTCCATATAAAAGGGATGAGCATAGGGCCTGCATATAGTAGGTGCCTAATGAAGGAACAAATGTGTAGGTGTACAGGAGGACTTTAGCATTTGAAATCATGCACGTGAATAGCCCAAAACAGTTCTTGACCCACAGTAGGTGCTTAGTGACCAAAATCACACGCAGTAGGTGCTTAGTGACCAAAAGCACCTGTCACCATTAAGGAAACCAAGACAGGTTTGGGTTTCTGTCCTCTATTCCCCTCTTACAGCCAGGTGACCAGAGCCCCTTTAAGCATGGCTAGCTCTCTTCTGGTGGAATGCACCACCCACTCATCCGGCCCCACCTCCCATCCACATTTCTATCCAGACTCCCCACATCATCTCCTCTTCCAGGGAGCCTTCTCAGGTTGCTAGCAGGCCCTTAGATTATCCCGCCTCTCTATCCCCAGAGCTGTGAGGCACTTCATGTGCAGCAGCCAACTTAGCACTTGCTGACTGTCAGCTTTGTTAGGGTTCTCAGGTGGTTCTGCCCAGATCAATTACAGCTCTCCTGGGGCCAGACCCAGCCTCACCATTTTTCTTCTTTTGTGTGTGGTACTGAACCCAGGGTTGCTCTACCTCTGAGCTACATCACCAGCCTTCACCCTCCGACCCCCTCCTTTTTTTGCGGGGTGGGGGTAGGTCTCCAAAGATGGCCTCAAATTTGTGATCCTACTGCCTCGGCCTCCTGAATAACTGGATTGTAGGCATGTACCACTGCACCGGGCTCCCGCCTCACCTTTTAAATATTTTCCCCTGGGTCCTGAGTTAGGGCTTGGCACACCATCAAGCTCAGAAACATGCTTAGTGGCTGCTACCTAACAACTTGGGCATCTTTCCCTTTCTTTTCTTACTGGTGGCTTCTAAGGATTGAAAGAAGCTCCCTGGAGAGCTAGGTCTCAGAGCTGTAGGGTTTACATACCAAGGAAAAACTTATGGGGAATTTCTTATACAGATTTTTCTGTTTTCAGGATGTTCCTTACTGGCTTGTAATGATGGAATACTTTTTGTTTAGCTCCAGAGAAAGAGACACATTGGGAACGACATTGTGGCCATCATCTTCCAAGAAGAAAATACACCATTCGTCCCAGATATGATTGCCTCCAATTTCTTACATGCCTACATTGTTGTGCAGGTCGAGAGCCCAGGCACAGAGACCCCATCTTACAAGGTAAGGGTAGGCCTGGCTGGAGACAGTCACTGCCCAGATGCCTCCCCGCATTTTGTGGACTCACGACATCAAAAGTCACAAGTTGTCAACAGTATTGGAGTTCCGTGAGTTGCCAGGTTGCTGGGGTCTGAAGCTAGACTCTTGGTGGAAAGCACCTTCCAGGTTGTTCCACCCATTTTGCTGCCTGCAGGCTCTACAGCTTCCAACTTGAGGGTCCAGAAGCCTGAAATGTCATATTTAGAATGCAGTGATGTCCTGGGCTAGAATATGGCAGAATGAGAGAGGAGAAGGTGAGAGTGGAGAGGACGTCAGGAAAAGGGAAAGGTGGTAGCAAACAGAGGGAAGAAAGAGAAAGGGGGCATGGGCGTGGTAGACCCTGGCCCTCTGGTCTGGCCATTCTAGACCCATGGGTGATCTCAACTTGAAGACTTTAGGGAGGCAGGGATGCAAGACCCCTGTTAAGTGTCCTGGCCAGTGAGTGGCAGGGAAGATGGACTCATGGTCTTCACTAGTGGGAATGGGGCAGACACAGAGCAACCCATTGTTCTGACAGCCCTCATCTGCCCACTCCTGATGGCTGCCTTCCTCCTGTCCATGAGTAACAATCCTGACCTCCCGGACAGCATTTTCACCGTGTCATGGTGGTTCCAGGGGTATGGGACCTGAGGGAGAGAGGCTGAGGCAGGGTTTTTAAGGTATCAGGTAGTCTTGGCATGACATGCCCTCCCTACTCCCAGCCACCCGCCTTCCCTTCTCAGTGCCTTGGCACTAACTGCTATTGGTGCACTTTTCTGCATTTTCTGGGAAGAGAGGCCCCAGATCAAATTCTCATAGGGCTCCCTGCTCCAAAAAATGTTGGGAACCATCATTCTCTGGAAGAGGAGAAGAAATGAGCCTGTCATTGCTAACGGGAGATAATGAGGCCTGGAAATATTTCCTAGATAATAACTTAGGTCAGTGCTGATTCCTTGGGTTCTCTGCCATAGCACCTCATGGCCATCTTTATAAATATTAATTTTGGTAGGTACGGTTATGTTACTCTTACATCAGTGCAAACATAGATGTATTGAGTGCAAAATTCCCATTGAAATTTAAAACCAAATGTGAGACTTAAAAAAAAAAAGAAACAAAGAAAAGAAAAAGCTAACAAAAAACAAATCCCTCCCGTTGTGATGAGCTGATTTCCTTACGTGGGCATGTTTATGTTTCTCTGGTGTTGAGTAATCTTAGCTGCAAAGTTGGAGCAGCCGTGGTGTGGCCATTTCCTAGAAAGCTGTGGGGTCACCTGCTTTGACTGAAATGGGCATTCTTGTCACAGCTGCTTGATGAATTTGTCGGGGAAAGTGAATTTACTCATTCAGTGCCCCACCGGGTGCCATCATGTGCCATTGGCATCATGCTGGGGTGGGGAACAAGGAAGTGACATGCAGAATTGCCCTGCAGGTCCTGGCTGACCCTAGACAAGGGATGGAGGAGCCAGTGAGTGTAGTTCAGCCACTGGGCAGCTCAGATAACCAACTGGTTCTTTTAACAGCCCACCAAGGTGGAAGAGCTGTGGAGAAAGAAAGTCTGGAAAGAAAGTCATCTGGATATGGCTTGTCTGATGGCTTCTTGTGGACGTTTAATATTTGCTTTTTATTCCTTATAGAAGATGGAGCTCAGATAACTGGCTTCTCTACTTTCTTAAAAAAATTTTTTTAAAAGTTATAGATGGACACAATACTTTTATTTTTATGCAGTGCTGAGGATTGAACCCAGTGCCTCACACATGCTAGGCAAGTGCTCTGCCACTGAGCTACACCCCCAGTCCCTGGATTGCTTCACTTTCCCAAGAGCTTAGTGTAGGGGTGCATCCATACAGAGAAAAACCAGAGATCCAGAAGCCACCACTCTCCTCTAGCTTCGGTGCTGGGAGTCTTTACCCAGTTTTTCAAGTCACAGTTTGGGATCCAGGGCAAAGCACTGTCTTCAGAAAAGTGCAGAGTTGCAGAGGAGCAGGGCCAAGCCCTTGGGACAAGGAATCTTCACCTTGTATTTCATCTGCCTGCTGGATTTGCTGGTGGGAATGGAGCCAGAGAGGCAGAGGGCAGGAGAGAGACCAGCCTTCCAAGGCCCTCCCCAGCATGCTGCCTACCTGCACCCCAGCAGCAGCCTGGGTGATATGTGGGCTGTGAGGAAAACCTGGTTGGACCCCTCAGGGTGTCCAGGTGAAATGGGACCCTAGCTGACCCCTGAAGGCTTAGGGGCTTTGCAAAGGAGGGGGGAATTCCTTAGGGACTAAGCAAGGAGTCCAGGAGGCCTGAGCTACAGGAAAGAAGAGGTGGGAAGGATGGAAGTGGAAATGTGCAAGGAAGGTCCCCAATCAAAGTAGACTGGGGTTCTTGTTCTGGCCCTGACTCTGATTACTGTGTGACTTTGGGTCAGTTCCTTCCCTCTCTGGGCCTCAGTTTCTATCCGTGTGAAATGAGGAAGTTGGACTAGGTGCCCTGTGAACTCCTTCCAGCACTTTCTCTTATTAGTCTGATGTTATAGAGAGAAGATTGAGGCTCAGAGCTTAGGCCATTTAAGGCTGAGGCCACAGAGCCAGGGTGCCATGGAGCTGAAATTTCTGCTCAGTCTGTCTGAAGCCATCAGAGCCGGTGGGAAATTGATTCCACAAATTCAGGTGTGCAAAAGTCACATGGGAATATTTTTAGGTAGGAATTTAGTTCCCATCTCACCAGATTAGAAGGAAACTCTAGCTCAGCCATCAGTAGGACTCCTTCCTCCTCTTTAGGGTCACCTCCCCCTTTCTGAAGTCCAGCGAGGTTTTCAGGAATCTTCTGTGGAGCAGATCACTGGGGAAGCCCTCCCCTTCCCATCCCAACTCTTGTTGCTTAAACAGCCCTCTAAGGCGGCAGGCCACACCTGGGCATGGGGACTTTGTCAGGTTTCCAGTGCTCAGATCCACACCTCCCTGGTGCATCCTCTTGACCTCTACGCCTTAGCTTCTTCCGCTTTCCAGCCTTGAAGATGCTCTTCCCCAGGGCACCTGCAGCCTCTGTGACCTCTGGATTTAGAAACAGGAAGGGGAGGAGGGGCTGTGTTCAGGCAACTTCTGCTTTCAGAAGCAACATCCCCAAGAGGAGGGAACCACAGAGACCAGGCTGTCTCATTGGAATGGGGTCAAGAGGGGGACAGGCTGAGAATGAAAGATGAATGGATGTCACCAGGGAGGCTCCTGCCCCTGTCCCCTGTGTTTCTGACCACTATTGCAGTGGGCTTCTCTGTTAGGAGAAGATTTAAGGGTATCTGGATTTAAGGCATATCTGAAAACACTCTGTCAGCACAGACCACTCTAATGCAGGCCCTAGAAGGAAGGGGGACCAGGTAGGGTGGGGGCCACTGGGCCTGCTTCTTTCCTTTGTCCCAGGTATCCTGGATGTGTGTAGCCCAGTCCAAATTCTGGCTCTGTGGGTAGAATTCTTGACTTGGGCCACCAGGTGGATAGTAGTAGGGAACTGTATTTGGTAGCTGGAGCTCAGCCAGAAATCATGTCGGTGAACACATACCATTTCCTGACTCAGAAATTTGGACTGTGCAGACAGACTTGAGTTTGGGGAGAGAAAGCCACTATTGACCTACCCTCTCTGCTTCCTCCCCTCTGGACCCTGGCAGGGCCTTTCCTTGGCTCTGCTCCGGGCTGCCTGCTCGCCCGGTCTGGCAGGCTCTTTGCATCTGCCCTAGTTCACAGGCCAGGGGGGCTGGCGGCAGGCCAGGGTCTGCTCACGTCAGTGGCTGCTGAGGCAAAGGAACAGGCAGTGTCCCGAGAGCCCTGCAGCCTCTGGGGCTGAGAGCAGGTGAAACCAGGGCACCTACACTCAGAGGGGGTGAGGTAGGGGACCTGCACCGATCATGGGCACCCTCCATGCAGAGCACCTGAATACTCTTGCTCTGCAGTTAGATATCACCGAGGCTGGCCCAAGCCTGGACATCCCCCACTTTTAATTCTCAGCCTGGGCCATGGAGATCTGTTAGGACAAGCCTCAGCCAGAATGGCTGACCCTGTGTATGGGGCCAGGGCTCCCAGACACAGGTCCATTGGCTATACAAAGCCTCCCAGGAATCCTGAGCTTCTCATATAATCTGCATTTACTTTGTAAACACTGGAAGTGAGTCTGATGTATGGCTGGGTTTGGGAGACAGTACGGTGGGGAAGAACTAGAGACCTGATCAGGAGAGATCTGGAACCTTTGTTTCTCTCTGTGACTAATCACCTGTGTGACTTTGTGGGGCTCACTTCATGTCTCTGGCTTTCTGTTTCCTCATCATGAAAACGGGGGTAATAACTCTCCCTGCATCTTCTCCATGGGAAGAACATCACAACTGAATGAAGTCATGACACCTCCCAGACACTCGCATTGTGTTGTAATTGGGGTCCCTGCTGCTCATCAGCCCTGTCCAGTCATTCTGCCACACTTGCATCTGCCCCCTAGGAAGGCAGGGGAGAGGATGCGGATGGCTCCTCACTGTCCAGCCCCACTTCTAGGAGCAATGACTCGGCCTGTACTTCATTTGTATTCTGGGAAGGGGAGTGGGGAGAGGGTAAGTGGATTGGCTTAGCTGGGCGTGGTGACACACCTGTTAATCCTAGCAGCTCAGGAGGCTGAGGCAGTAGGATTGTGAATTCAAAGCTAGCCTCAGCAACTTAGCAAGGCCCTAAGCAACTTGGCAAGACCCTGTCTCTAAATAAATAATAAAAAAAGGGCTGGGGATGTGGCTCAGTGGTTGAGTGCCCCTGGGTTCAATCCTTGTTAACCCTCTCCACCCCCCAAAAAGTGTGGCTCCCTGAAAGGCAGCTCTGATCTCTTCCCTCCTGGCTCACATGTGACTCTTTCATTCAGGTCTCCGTCACTGCACGGGAAGATGTGCCTGCCTTTGGCCCACCTTTGCCCAGCCCCCCTGTTTTCCAGAAGGTAGGAAGCTCTTCTACTTCTCTCACATTTAAGAGTCCAGGTTTCCAGACCTACCTAGCAATGTTGGAATGGGCAGAATTTGGGCTGGGAACATTAGGGTGGCCATTTATCAGGGTGTGTGACACTGGAGTTGCCTGCCAGAGGAGGGATTTAATTTTAATTTTTGATTGGTACATTATAATTATACAAAAGAGCGGGATTCATTGTGATATATTTGTACATGCATATAACATATTTTGGTTGATATTATGACCCAGTACCTCTCCTTGATTCCCATTCTTCACTCTACTAGGAGTCTAGGGATGGGTTTTTATGCCATGCTTCTGTCCAGGGAGCCTTGGGTGAGAATTGCCTTTCCTTGTGGAAGTGTCCCATGGAGGGCTGCTTTCTCAGGACCAGCTGGTTTCCAGAATGGCATATTAGCAGGTGGCTTGGCATGGGCTAGAAACGATCAGATGTCAGAAGGGCCCCTTCTTGGACTTTTCCAGATCCCCTTTACTGCCTGCTTAAGACTATAACTGAAGCCCTCTGGCAGTGGCTGAGGGTAGGAGAGTTCTGGACCATCTTGTCTGTTCCAGGGCCCAGAGTTCAGAGAGTTCCTGCTCACCAAGCTCACGAATGCCGAGAATGCTTGCTGCAAGTCGGACAAATTTGCCAAGTTGGAGGTGAGAGCACAGTTTCCAAAGGTCGTCTTCCTGGCCTGCTCTTAACCAGCTTCCCTTGGAGCTCTCCTCTTGGGCCTGTTCAAGTTGGGGAGCATCTTTGCCCTTCTAAGCCCTCGGTCCTGGGTTCATCATGGGAATACTTTCTTCTGGTGGATACTCCAGCTCTGTCAATCATTCACCCGTCTTTTATTGAGTACTTACTATATGCCAGGCCTTGTTCTGTTCCTTGGAATACAGGGATAAGCAAGACAGTTTTTGCCTTACAGAGCTCACAAGTTGGTGGGAGACAGTTTTAATATAACGTGTCAGCCCTAGGCCATGAGGAGCCAGCACTGCTTAGAGGACAGTAACTACTTCCGCCTTGGGGGGCACTGGGAGTGTGTGTTCAGGGAAGGCTTCCTGGAGCGGGTGGCTCTGAAGCCTCTGGATCTCAATATCTGATGAATCCTTTGCCAGGAGGCAAGAGTAGGAAAGGTTGTTATTCCAGGTATGGGGAACTTCTGAGTGAAGGCCACTCAGAGAAAGAGCATGACTCCGGGAGGCAGCCCCTGGGGGGTCCGCCATGCACTGAAAGAGGCTTCCCCGGGGGTTGGAGTGGTGCGGGCTCGGCTACAGATGTGGTTGGGTCAGATTCAGAAGGGCTGAGAGCTAGAGGCAATGGGTACTAGAAAGTTCTTATGGAACATTTGATTTGCTTATTAGAGTGATTTTTTTTTTTTTTTGCCAGTGGTGAGAAGGACAGGCTGAAGGGGGCAAGGAACAGGAAGGGTGGTCAGTTAGAAGCAATTAACAGGAGTCTGAGATGAAGGAGGCTTATACCCCATAAGAGGAAGTGGTTCAGAGTTAGGGTCAGGAAGACATGAAGGCTTGCCAGAAGTGCAGGTGGAGGGAAATGGAATGGTAGGGTCTCTCAGGCCTTTAGCTTGGGCTCTGTGGTGACATGGGGAAGACTGGGAGACTGTTCTGTTAGGACCTGTTGCTCTGGGGTGCCTGTCAAGGCCGAGTTGCTGAAAGAGCTTGTCACCATCTGTGCTAATGCGCCCCCTGGAGGCTGCACGCACAGTCCTGGTGTGAACATCTGACTGGAGAAGAGCCACGGGCAGGTGGGTTCATGAATGTGGAGCTTGGGCAGATGTCTGGGCTGGGAGTCACCTGGGTAGAACCGGGGAAGCAGTGGGATGACCCTGGGAGAAGGGAGCAAAGCAATGAGATGGGAGGGGGGCGCGCCCAGAGCATTTGCTGTCACAGCAGTGATTGTGAGCATGGAGCCTAGCTTGGCAGTAGGTCCACACTGGCCAGGATGCAGTGGCACAGTAACAGCCCTCAGGTTGGGTGTCTGTAACCCACAAGGAGAGGGCACACCTCTGTTGTCAGCCCCAGCTCCTCCACCCTCACCTTCTTCCCTCCTAGGACCGGACAAGGGCCGCCCTCCTGGACAACCTTCATGATGAACTCCATGCTCACACACAGGCCATGCTAGGACTGGGTCCAGAGGAGGACAAGTTTGAGAATGGAGGCCATGGAGGATTCCTGGAGTCTTTTAAGGTATGGAAACGGGGGTATCTGGGGGTTGCTATGACAGGGAGAGGTGAGGCAAAGAAAGGAAGTGATCTAAACCTATGGAGATTTTAGCCCCAAAGCCCTAGGGCCAGCTAGAAGAGACAGGACCAGGGGGGTATCCTAGATGTTTACATAGAGAAGGGATAATAGGAGTGTGAGGGGTCAGGGTAGCCAACATCTTCTCCACCCTTCATTGGCTTGGATCATCTCCTGGCCCAGGAGTCTGATAGGCAGGGACAGGTAGAGAGCAGTCAGAGAAGATCCAGAGCCAGCAGAAATTGAGAACATTCCTACTTTCATCGGTCTCCTTCTGGGGTCAGGGTGCCCAGGGCAGGATGGCAGAAGCAAGGATATAAACACAAACCTTAGTGGTCTCCTGCAGCTGATGTGGGGTGTTGCAGTGATTCTTTCCATCTGGCAAGGCCCTGGGGACCTAGCTGGGCTCGTGGGATGGAGATACAGGCAAGTCCCTTTGGACCCTACAAAGGGAAGAACTCTTTAACCAGAACAAGCTGCTAAAGGAAGCAGTAAGCTCTGTGTCACTGAGCTTATTCAAGTGGAGCCTGTGCAGCCACAGAACTGGCACACAGGGCAGACAAGGCTCATCATGTACTGGATGAGCCCTTCTTGGTCCACACAGCACACACACACAACCAACATGTGATTTGAGCCTGGCTGTAATCCTGTGTGGTCAGCTGGATGGTTATTTCTCATTATTTCCACTAACACACATGGGGACAGGCTGAGAGAGGCCATAGGGTAGAGCCTTGTTTCAAACCAAGTTTTCAGATTCTTAGGTCCAGGTCCTGCTGGATTGCCCATCAGAGAGTGGTTCATAAAGCTACCATTTTGGGGGAATTTTGTCTAGGTTAAGGTTAGACCTGCCTGCTTTCAGATCTTAGCTCTGCGTGGTTCTGGGCGAGATCTTTAAAGTCTCTGAGCTATAGTTTTCTTGTCAATGATAGAGGGATGATAAATTGGGTCACTGTCTGAGTTGTATGAGAATTCACAGAAACATTGACTACAACACTGTAAGTGCTCACAAGTGTGAGCTGTTATTATTATATGAAGTGAAAGCTTAATATACATTATCCTATCTTAAACCTCCAACTGCCCTCTGTTCCCTGTAGGGAAGGCTATTATTATGGGTGTAATAATTTTGGTATAATAATTCAGACTCAATTTTAATAATTACAGGTACAGTTTTATATATAAGGAAACTAAGACTCAAAGAGGCTAAATGATTTGTCCCAAGTCATCTGGAGACAGTTGAATTCAGGTCTCCTAGATTCCAAAGTCTGGTGCTCTTAACAGCTATGAGATACTCCCTCCTAGTTTCCGACTGTTAAGATTCCACCCACGCTGCCTGGGCCCAGGCAGGCCTGGGGTCAATCCCTCACTGCCTGGCTTGAACGCTGAGGGCAGGGCATGGCTCTGCTGGCCCTCACTGGAACCAGCTGCTGAGATTCCTTATAAGGGTGGGGGAAGGAGCCAAGCTGCTTGCCTAGGCTGGTGGGAGATTCCTGGGGCATCTGTTTTAGTCCTGATGGACAGTGGCAGCCAGGGCAAAATAGGAGAAATTGGGGGGATCGGGATGCAAGAAGGGTGAGGGAGAAAAGGAACAGGGGAGGAAAGAGGGAGCTGGGTTGGATAGCCCAGCTGAGGGAGGGGTGAATGTGCCACCAGGTAATAGGAAAACGAGCTTGGATCTGGAAAGGCAGATAAGCAGGGCCATTTAGAGATGTTTTTAAGGCTCTGGACTCTTCTGGAAGCTCTGCCCTCCTTCATATTAAGCATGTCGAAATGGTCTATATCACATAGGGTGTTAGTCAGCTTTGTATCACTGTGATAAAATACCTGAGAAAATCAACTTAAAGGAGAAAAGATTTATTTTGGTTCTTGGTTTCAGAGATTTCAGCCCACAGTCACCTGGCTCTGTTGATTCAGGGCCAGTGTTGAGGTGGGCATGGAGGAGAGGGTGTGGAGGAACAAAACTGCTCACCTCATGGCTACCAGGAAGCCTGGTGGGAGGATGTGAAGATGGAGAGGGAGAAAAAGGAGACAGGCAGGGGGAGGGAGAGGAAAGAGAGATAGGGGACAGGATATACCCTTCCAGGGCATGCACACCCCTAGTGATCTACTTCCTTGAACTGAGCCCCATCTCCTACAGTTTCCACCAACTCCCAGTAATACATTCAAGTATGAACCCATCTGTGGATTAATTCATTGATGAGAGCAGAACCCTCATGATATGGTCACTTCCCTCAAAGCCCCACCTTGGATCATAGCCACTTTGGGGACCAAGCCCTCAACACATGAGCCTTTTGGGAGACATTCCAGATCAAAACACACAGTAAATGTAATTTATGTAGGACTAACAGAGTCGAGCTGAGGCTGATTTGCGAACATAATGTTGTATTTTGTACACATTCAATGAAACATTTGTTGCTTTAATTTTTGCAAGATTCTTTTTCTATATTATAGTTAACAATTGTTTTTTCATGATTTAAGTATTTTTTGTAATCCGGAGAAGCTTGTAGGTTGTGGTCACTGCCCATGGCATCCAATGAATGAGATGGCCCAGTAGCTAAATATAAGTGACAGGTGTATAGGACAGTGGCCTGAGGAGGCCATTTCATCCAGTCCTCAGCCTCTGACTCTAGAAACTGTTGCTTTTTTTTCCTTTCATGGGTGCATTAGGCAGGGTTATGGTGTTAGAATTGTTGGCATTCCTCATCAAGTTCCCTTCAACCTCCACAGGATCCCTCTTGAATGAAATGGTACCTGAAAATGATTCTAAGAAGAAAACTTGGATGTTAAATCTCCTTCCTGTCAAAGTCTTTGTCTTATTGGCTGATGTAACTTAATAGAGAAACAGGAACATAATTGAGAATTTTCAGGGCTGAAAGCTGCCTCGATCATTTATCTCTTCACCTGTCCCGAGGCTGCTCTTCCTCACCTTAGAGGGCCTTGGCCTGGTCTGTGCTCCAAGAAGCAGACCCACGGTGACCCTGGGTTGTGCTGCCTGGCACCTTGTGGCAGGGGGAGTGGTTTTTTTAAGTCTTGCTTCAGTTCCCCTGGCTGTGATTGAGGCTTTTCCTCCACAGTACTCAGACTTGTTGGTTTATGGACCTTTCAAATTGAGCTGCTTGGAGGTCTTCTCAGGACCCTGGCAGTTCTACCAACCCTTTTAAATTCTTTATTTAACTTAGATGATAACTTAAAAATACAAAAATTTCCAGTGATAAAGACTAAACTTTTGCAGCAATGACTCACAATGAAAAGATGTTTCTATGGAATAAGACAGGGAACATAGAATGGCACATTGTAGGCCGAGGTAGTCTGGGGACAGATTCCTGGGAATCTTGCAAGAACATTTTTTCTCTATAAAGAAGCTGTACATCATTCATCTTTGAAAGATATTGATTTCCAGAGTATTGTTCTCAAATGCCATTCTCAGCCCATGCCAGCTGTTGACAACAAGGTTTTGTGGTCTGTAATGAAATGAAAAGAAAAAGGGACGATGCTTGATGTATTCATGTGACATGGGCATAAATCACGTGTGTGCCATATTTGGAGAAACACCAAACTGGCCCAGCCTTCCATTGACCTCATCATATAGAACCAGAGGACAAGAGAGGACAGAACTGGAACCACAGCAAGCTGGAAGTTGTCAGGTTAATTTCTCCCAGCCTTTGAGGGACTGGGATTGTTAATGCATGGGTCTGACCTGACCCCTAGTGGCAGGAGAGGCCACACATATTCCTGGCCATGTGTCTATGGGGTCCAGGCAGTACCAGTGATAGTAGATGGAGCCCAGAAGAGCCCAGTCAGAATCCCCAGCCTTTGGCATCTCTACCCCCATCCTTTCCCTCATGAGACAGGAAGCTGTGGAGTCAGGATGGTCCCACTGCCTTTGTGGGGGTCCAGTAACAGAGAGCTCAGGCCTTGCACATGGCCCTGTTCAGCTCATGGCTTGGAACCATGTCTGTGTGAGTAGAGCTGTCAGCTTCTGTCCTGTTCCCGCCCTGCAGAAGACCTTGTGTCAGACCTAAGAATACTCCCCATTTGAGCCATCTCAGCAGGCAGGAAGTTTGTCTCCAGGGCTCTGTCTCTGTACTTGTCTGGTTCTGATAGGTGTGTCCCTCTTAGTGTTCATTTCCTTGATTTTTGCCCCTTAAGTTTGTTAAATGGAAATAATTCATAAAACCCACTTGCAAGGAGGTGAGGAGTGTGGTTGGCAGGGAAGGAAACTGATCCCTCTGAAGCCAATTGGCGCTCAATCTCGGGGTTGAGATAAAGTGATATAATGGGCGATAAGAAAGCAATGCCATCTCCCTAATCTTACTCCCCAAAGGAGAACTTGCCCAAAGGTGAGAAGGGAGGTGAGTGAGGGCAGGGATGTCACAGTGACCTCGGGAAGTTGATGAAATTGAAGATGATTAGCTGGGAGGACAGCAGTTTGAGGACAGCAAGGGGCAATCGTGTGAAATAACCAATAGGCAGGTCCAAGACTCTAACATCTAGGAACTTATGTAAGATTTCAGCTTGGCACTTCCAAAGGTCAGGCCATCCCCCACTAATACAGGCAGCTTTGAAGGCAGTGAGCAGCTGTCCCTGGAAGATGCAAGTGGAGGGTACAGGAGCTTTGCCAGAGTGGGATGAGGGGCTGAGTGGGAGACAGTCCTCCTGGTCCCTGGAGCCCTCCTAAAGATGTGCAAAGGCTTCATGTGCCTTTCCTCTCACCTGCCTTCCTCTTTCCATAGCTGCCACCCTCCTTTCTCTTCTTCCTGTTTCTCAGACTCTCTGGCCAGTTTGGAAGGCCAGTGTGTTGATCAGTTGTCCATTAGATTGAAATGTGAAGTTCTTAAGATCATGTCCCCGAGAAGTTTCATTCAAAGCAAGCTTTATTTTAGGGCTTTGAGGTAAACTGTCACCTCTGTCTCACTAAGATTGGGACAGGAAAGCTGATTCTGAGCGTCAGGACTCATGCCAGGATTGGGCACACACCTTTCCTGCCCTCCTGTCACAGGAGGAGCCTTGTTGTATTCAGAAAGCATCTCAGGGAGGTA